TTGATCCCAAACTCTAGAATTTCGAGCATCGGTAAAAAAATTTTGACCGATGTTTGAATGTTTGATGAGTTTTTAAAAAATTTGGTAATATTTATTAATTGTACTACTATCGCTAAATAATTTATCAGTTATATAATCATGTTATCATTATCAAAGTTAAATTTCAATCAATTATCAAAACAAATAGTTAAAATTTAACATTCACTGATGCTCGATGATATCCGAATTAAAAACTCAGTGAATGGAAGCTTATTATCGATGCTTGAAATTTTTGAACGATGATCGAATAATTAGTCACCGGTTCCAATCTCTACTTTCTAGGTTATGTATAACATGCACGCGGTCTTACATCACACTCTTTAATCAAATCACCAGATATTTTTTGCCAAGTAAAACTCCATATTCAGTAAAAAAAATATATAGAATACAGTTACATCATGTCGGAACATTATTTTTGTACAGTAAATCGGGTAAACATAAGATGACGTTTTTTCCATTTTGTAAACAATAATACTCCCAGCTATAAATGCATATGTGCATGTATGTATGTAAATTTTTTTCTTTCAAAATATTTTGACACTTCAAAGCAATTTGCCGATATCCTTGAGGCTAAAAGTTTTTCCTTGACAATAACAGGATTAAAAAATTTTTTTTCATGCAAAACTACGACATCAATAATTGAAAAAAAAAAAAGCTGCACAAGTTACTCAAGACCCATTCCTGCATTTAGAAATGTTTATCAAATAATCTTTTCCCTGGGACATGACTTCTTTTGAAATCTTGAAATGGGTATCAATGGTTATTATATAACTTTATTAGTCTTATGATGACGATTTGTTTGAAACTTTATGTACGATGAGACAAAGTGAGAAAGTAAATTTGTTACTTTTTACAAATGAAATGATGATCATGCGCGTACGTATATGTTTACGATTATAATGTTTCTGTCTAACAAATGTTCTTTATTCACAATAAAATTATAGTAAATCAAAAGATATACCGATAATTAATGATGATATCATTATGTGTACGTGTATGTACATAGTATATATTTCATCATAAATGTTATATTAGGAATATTGTTTGTTTCTCCAAGCATTATCAATTTTGAATGGACCAGTTATAATATTTGTTATTTACACAGATGGGCGCAAAAAAACAGAAATTATTAGGAAAAGATCAAAGCTTTTGATAATTTTTGATTGGCTATCAAAGTCAGGATATGTGCGGTAGTTTCAAAAGATCGTACGATATTCTTATCCAATAATAATTTTTATTACACACGTACGTACGTATGTACGTAAGTATATTGTACCATAATTATTGACTTATTGAGTATTTAATAACCTTTTTTTTTATGACTAAGTTCTCAATAAAATTATTATATATTATATCCCCGTCCCTCCCGTACGTATAATAATAATAATAATAATAATAATAATGAATGTAATAAAAACAACATAGTTTTTAATACTCTACGTAAAAAAAAAATTTTTACAAATAGCAAATAATAAAAAGCGCCAACGATATACGAAATATACGTACAATATATATGGGAACAAAGAAATAGACTGCGGTACGCTCAATTAAATTACCCAAATTATCAAATTGTATGGTATAAGAATAGATACTACAGATCAGGAGGCAACATTTTTTAATTGCTGATCTACGTCTACGCACCGAGTTTCGAGGTTTTACGTAAGTATCATTACGTTTGATGCTTAAAGCTTAATCGCACTATAAAAGCTGGCGTACATGTTAACTATTTGTGACTAATCATGAATAATATTTTGATCATCGGCATGTGCGATGCTTTAAAAAAAAAAAAAAGTCATTATTGATTACGACCATACCAATTTCTGAAAATAGAAAACAACATTCAAAGCATTTCCGAGATACGTACCTTAATAAAATAAATGCATGATAAATTATTCTTTATATAATGATTGAAATGATTTTTAAGCAAAAAAAAACTTTAACCAAAATTCTTATAGGTTAATCCGTATGTTAATTCAAGGGTCATATCCTTGGTTATCATATCGAATATATAGGTATCTGATAAACTCGAAAGTTTAACTTTAATGATATTGCATAATCTTGTTAATGACCTGCATAACTCCGTGCCAAAAACTTTTTATATTGCTTATTATATATATATATATATAATATATTGTTTATTTAAAAAAAAAAAAAAAAACCCTAACGCACAAACAATGATTGTCTAAATCGTTCTAGACTTTCGTTTACAGTATCCACAGCAAATTTATTTACGATAAGATACCACTAAAATACGCGCAGTACATTTTACTGCTATATAAAGATTAACTATTATAGGATATACGTACGTACGTATATTTGTGATATCTGTATATCTGTTAAAAAAATTAAAAAATATAAATTTACGTATATTTGGGATAATAAATAATATTGACATTAATTTATATATATATATATATATATAATACATAATTTATGATTAATCCGCAATTATTAGTAATCGTCGCGTAGAATCAATTATTTTATATCGATCATGTATACCAGTTTAATTAATACACTTTAATTTTTATCCGGTTATCTCTATTGACGTTAATACAAAGATTGATGGTAAGATTTGCATTATATGTGCAAAATAAAAAATATTTGTAAAAAAATATTATTTGCAATATATATAAAAAAATATTATTTGCAATATACTGTATATAAATATATTATTTGCAAATATATATTTTATAAAATTTATACCCTATTTTTTTTTATTAGGGTGATTAAAAAGATTTATATAAAGCCAATTTCGAAAACCTACTTGATCCGTAAAAAAATAAAAATAAAAAAAAAATATTAAAAAAATAAAAAATAAAAAAAGCAAAACACAACATTGTATATCGAAGTGAGAGATACATTTAATAATTATATACAAAATAGAAAGAATGTCTACCGAAATGTCTAACAATAATACTTTCCTTGATTTTTTAAATCAAGGAAACAAAATAGAAGATGTAGAAGTTGTACTATCTGTTATTGATAGAAATGAAATATTTAAACCAATGGTGAACGCACAAGGAATAATAAATGATTTGATCACTTCACCTATTAGAAGAGCAGGCAATAAAAGGATTAAACGACCTCTAAACAAATTCATGGTTTTTAAAAAGAGTCTTAAGAAACTGATAGAAACTTCAAGCAATATTCCTCGCAAACATCGTATGCGTCAGATTACACAAGTAGCTTCTAAATTCTGGAATAGTGCATCAAATGAACAGAAAGAACCGTTTGAAGCAATTGCTAAGGATGTGAAGTTACTACATAAAACTATGTTTCCCGGATATTCATACGCTCCAACTATTAAAAGGCCCCAAGATCCTTTTATAAATCTTACTGGAAAATCTTCCCATGTGGGACCAGTTCTTATAGAGTCCGTCGAAGACTCAGAAGACTCAAAACAACCTGTTGAGGAACAAAAAACTTTGGATGTTTCACAGCAAGAAAGTAACTTAATAAATTCGTACTGCTTATTTGAAGGTCAACATTTTGTTGGAAAATGTGTTTCTTCAAACGGAAACGAAATTGCAAAAGAAAATGAGGATGTCATGCCACAACAACTTTATGATCCAA